ATTTTTATTTCTAAAATCCAAAGCTCCTCTCACACATTGCTCCAAAGTAACTACTGCCTATGAAAGAGACTTGTGCTGTGCTATAAAGATGCTTTGACTATAAAAGATCCGCCCAACTCTGCCAGAAAAAGGAAAGCTGGGCATAGTGGTGCACAGTTGTAGTCCCAGACATTCAGGAGGCTGAGACGGGAGGACTGCTTGAGCCCCGGCATTTGAGATCAGCCTGGGCAATGCAGTGAGATCCCATCTCTTAAAAATATCTATCTATATAGAGTGGAGTGGAGGGTTACAATCATAGCTAACTGCAGCTCTAACCCCGAGGCACAGGAGATCCTCCTACCTCTGCCTCCCAAGCAGCTAGGACTACAGGCGCACATCACCACGCTCAACTAATTTTTTTTTTTTTTTTTAGGCAGAGTTTCACTCTTGTTGCCCAGGCTGGAGTACAACGGGGCGATCTCGGCTCACTGCAACCTCCGCCTCCTGGGTTCAAGCAATTCTGCCTCAGCCTCCCAAAGTACTGGGATTATAGCATGAGCCACTGCACGTAGCAAATTTTTAAATTTTTGGTAGAGACAAGGTCTCGCTCTGTTGGCCAGGCTGGTCTGGACCTCCTGGCCTCAAGAGATCCTCCTGTCTTGGCCTCCCAAAGCACTGGGATTACATGTGTGAACCACCATGCCCAGTCTCATTTCTTTATTAGAAAGGACAGCTAGGGTTGATTGCCTTTCCCTCTTCCAATGTACAATGTGAGCTTTTAGGCTATCCTCTCAATCACATCCACATAACTATAGTTCTTGTTCCTAGAAGTCTGCAGCATATCCAAGTACCTGTTAGCAGCCTGCCACATACTTCCACTCAGCTTTCTCACCACGGTCACTCCTGTGCAGAAGCAGAGAGGAGGGGCTCTCCTCAAGTGCATTCTCATTCCACCTTAGTATTTCTTCATTCACTCAACTAAAAGTTATTGACGTAACAAGTGCCAGGGATAATGCCAGGCACTGGGGACCTAAAGATGAGGAAGACCAGGTTTCTGACCTCATGGAACTTGCTAGCTAATAGAGGGAGTGTGTAGTAAAGAACTTAACCTTGCAAAGAGAGTTCTGGCCTTTGCCCTTGGATCCTGGGAGGTAACCTCAAAGCCCTTGGAATGTCCTGCCTGATAAAAATATCTTTGTTTATCAGGAGGTAGGCCTTAGGCCACACTGGACAGTCTAACAATGTGATTTAGGCAGAAATCTTTGGGCTGTACCAGATAGTTTAGCAATGTGATGAGGGAGCAGGGAGACTTTGGATCACCCTTTATTAGCTAGACTTCTGGAGGGGCTGGAGACTGAGGTCAGTCACATGGGCAGACAACCAGGTCCACATGACTGAGCCCCAATAAAAACTTCGGACATCATCCTGGCCAGGCACAGTGGCTCACGCCTGTAATCCTAGCACTTTGGGAGGCCGAGGTGGGCAGATTACCTGAGGTCAGGAGTTCAAGACCAGCCTGGTCAACATAGCAAAACCCTCTCTCCACTTAAAATACTGGACATTGTGGTAGATGCCTGTAATACCAGCTACTAGGGAGGCTGAGGCAGGAGAATCACTTGATCCCAGGAGGTGGAGGTTGCAGTGAGCCCAGATTGTGCCACTGCACTCCAGCCTGGGCCATAGAGCAAGACTCCATCTCAAAAAACAAAAAACAAACAAAAACCAAAAAACAAAAACCCCAAAACAATGAAACTTTAGATATTAAGGCTCAAGTGAGATTCTGATTGGCAATATTCTGTGAGTATTTTTACACATACTGGGAAAATTGACTCTGTCCATGATTCCACTGAGAACTCTGTATTTGGAACTTTCCTGGTTTCTGTTCCATGCATCTCTTCCCTTGGACAACTTATTCTGTTTCCTTTCTTGTGATAAACTGTGACTTGCAGCTTTCAATAAGGTCTGTGAATCTGGCAAATTATAAAACCAGAGGGTAGTCTTAGGGACCCCCAAACTTGCAACTGATATCAGAAGTAAGGGTAGTCATGGACTACTCCCTAAGTTTGGGAAATACATATGTAAACACATAAGTGTGGTAAAATATAATCACTGTGAGAGCTAGCTGTATGGATGGGGAGGGCACAAAGAATGGCTATTCTACCTACAGAGGAAAAATGTTCAAACAGGTATCTTTTGAATGGCGTCCTTCAAAGATGAGTAAGTATACCCACCAGGTGAATCTAGTCAGAGTGAGAGTGGATGGTGCAGGGGGAAAAGTAGGAAACAGATGTCTTTATACATGAAACTGTAAAGCAGCATCACTGAAAAGTAGGCAGCAAAGGAGGCAAGGTAATTTATGAGGCTGGAGAGATATACTAAGGTCATGAATGAACTTGCATGGCAGGATGAGAAGCTTCACATGTTTTCTTGCAGGCAATGGGACATCCTTGAAGTAGCATGAACAAACTTACATTTTTAGAAAGGATCACTCGGCTATGGCAGGAATGGATTCCAAGGGGAAAAGACTAGTGGCAGGTAAACTAGGTAGGAGGATCTGGCAGTACCTTGTGAGAGAGATGAAGAAGGCCTGAATCAAGGTTGTAGAGGAAATGGAGAGAGGTGGCAATTAAAGGACATGGTGACTCACTAGCTGTGAAATGTAGGACTCTGTGATTCCTAGAGTCCTAATAGGGGGGACTAAGTACCACTAACAAGGACAAGGATCCCAGGAAGAGCATGGTTGAGGGGGATTGAGGGGAAAGATACTGAGTTCAGTTCAGGACATGCTGAATTTTAAGGTGACTGGAGGAGAATGGCAAGTAGACAGATACACAGGTCTGGAGGGAAGGGATCAGCACATAGATGGCAGCTGAAGTCAGGAAGGAAAAAGCTGGGGAAATGTCCCTCAGATTTGGAAAACAGGAGACGACCGGTCCTTTGATGAGAGGACTTGAAGTGACAAGAACAGAAGTCAGATTTCAGTAGTTTAGACATAAATGAGAAATGACCAAGTGGAGAAACAGCAAATATAGAGAAATCACTGCCAAACACAAGTGGATTAGGGGACACACACTCTTCCAATGCAGCCACCGGAACTCAGCATGACTTTTTTGAGTTAACATTAAGATAACCAAGACTACTTATTCTGTGTCTACTGGCTGAGAACCCTGGTCTTTTCTAGGTGCATGGGTTCCAGCAGTACTTGAGGTAAAATAGGTGATCTCAAATAGTAGTTCTTTGCTAACTCAGGCCAAGCTGGCCCTCTTGCCAAGGCAAGCAAGGTAGGCCACACTGGGCAATAGTATCAGAGACCGGGTGTGATAGCTCATGCCTGTAATCCCAGCACTCTGGGAAGCTGAGGTGGGGGGATCACTTGAGTCCAGAAGTTCAAGGCCAGCTGGGCAATACGGCAAAACCCTGTCTCTACAAAAAATACAAAAGTAGCCAGGCATGGTGGCTGTAGTCCCAGCTACTTGGGGGCTGAGGTGGAAGAGTCACTTGAGCCCAAGAGGTCGAGGCTACAGTAAGCTGTGATAGTGTCGCTGCACTCCAACCTGGGTGACAGAGTGAGACCCTATCTAAAAAAAAAAAAAAATAGGTGGCCAGATGTGGTGGCTCATACCTGCAATGCCAGTGCTTTGGGAGGGCAAAGCAGGAGGATTGTTTGAGCCCAGGAGTTTAAGACCAGCCTGGGCAACATAGTGAGACTCCGTCTCTACATTAACAACAAAAAAAGACAGAGAAAGTGAGAGAAATATGACCAGGGGACACACTGAGATCAATGATTAATAGATAGTACTGGCTCCTCAGTTAAAAATATAAGGGGTACTCTGAGATAAGCCCTTCAAGATACCATTCAAAAATACTAAGTTGTGCTTGTTGATACGGTTGGCTGCTGACAGCACAGACTAGAGCACTCAGAACATTACCAAACAGAGACTAAATGTCTAGGCAGCCTACAACATGCTCCTTGGCAAGAGGAACGCGATGTTCCTATTGCAGAATTGACCTAAATTCAGGAAAGAGCTTATTGATGTAGGCGAATACTTGAATCTGCAGCCAGCAGGATCATCAACGAATGAGGGTGGGAGGGCAGAGTCTTCCTTCTCCAATTTTACAAGGTCAGCTTGAGCAGCTCTCTTAAGAGCCGACATTGAAACTAGTTCCACTGGATATGCTGAAGTTGTGTTATCAGGCTCCATATACCTACCACCTCTGCCCAAATCTGTTCCCAGAACTAATCAACACAAAGGGACAACTGCATGTCAGACAAGAGCTGACCTAGATCCCTGTGAAAATTTGTCCACAGGACACTAGTGCTGCTGGAGGGAATGGTGAAGTATTTGTATCCATGACAAGAGTCCTAGAAAGATGGGAAGCAACGTGGGAGCTGACTGAGGCCACAGGGAGTGGGATCCATTTCCTGAACATAATGCAGAAACTAATTAGTTTCCAACACAATCTACCCTTCTCACAGCTGCCAAAAAACTCTAGTTCATAAATCTCAAGGGACCTTGCCTGCTCAAAGTTCTTCCTTAGCTTCCTTCATCCATGACACAAAATCTAAAACCTCCTATCTCTTTCCAGCATCCTCTCCCAAACTCTCCTGGTGGGCTTCTTTTCTCACAGAAGCGTGAGATCCTCAAGGGCAGGGACTAAGTCCCGTCCACCTCCATAACTCCTTTACTTGGCAGGGGCCTAGGACAAGGCTTATCTCCTGGTAGGCACAAATGTTTGCTGAAGGACTGAATGAACTCCATTTGCATTTTATCTCTGGCAATGTCTAAACCAAAGAAAATCACACTTGTCTTCTCAGAAGAGGGAACATATTCAAATACTAAGAATTGCAGTTCTTGGTAAAACCTTTCAGCAGCAACAACTGGAAACTCAGCAGAATCTTTGAGTGCTAAAAACAGTGAAATGGGCCAAGATTTGAACAGCCATGGCTGAAGTAGCCCAGGGGACTGGAGTGGGAAGGGGAGAGATTCATGGCTATCTAAAGCTTAAGAACCACAAAATGCTTCTTTCTTATGAATCACATATATTTACATTGCGGATCTAGGATACACTTATCACAGTAGGAGCTGCTCAAATCAGCCTGAATGCTACCCAATCTGGGAGCCTCCCCACAACTGTTTGAGCCAGCATTTCAGATTATAGATAAGCTGTTTCTGGCCAGGCTGGCTTTGTAAAGTTCGCTCTAAAGAATGAAGTCACCTGTTATTACTGTCCTCCCCTCCCATATTCCCTTTGGGGCTAGGTACCATCCTGTGGCTCCTTCAGGAGGCTTCCCACTTTAATTCTCCATGAGGCTTCCAGGTTGGTCTGGGCTGTGGGGAGAACTCTTCAACTTGGGGGTAGACAGGTGCTCCAACTCATAGTGCCCACTCTCGGAGGCCTTGTGTGTGAGTTTCTCCTTCTGGCTCTTCTTGTGCTCCATAATCTGCTGGAGCTGGTGTCCAGCATATTCTGGCTTGGTGGTCAGTGGGCCAGCTGGCACAGCCACACCGAGGACATCTGACACCATGTAGGGGCGCAGCCAGCCCACCAAAGGAGTACTTCCGGGGCTGTAGTGGGTCTGCTTGTGGTAGAAGAGAAGTCCATCTACCTACAGGATGGGGGGAAATTGAGGATCCAAATGACTTCTGGGGCCACATGTTTCCAGGAGAGCCTATATACACAAGGGCAGCTCTTGTGGTCCGACTCCTTTTTCTGGGTCATTGACGGAGGAAAGAGTACCAGCTTCTCACACATGCAGTTTCTCTAAATAACCAAATGGCCTAGAAAACTAAATTTGAGAAAATAAAAACATTGGCTGGGTGTGGTGGCTCATGTTTATAATCCCAGCACTCTGGGAGGCTGAGGTGGGCAGATTGCTTGAGCTCAGGAGTTCAAGACCAGCCTGGGCTACACGGTAAGACCCCATCTCTACTAAAAAAAAAAAGAAAGAAAGAAAAAAAAAAGAAAACAGCTAGGCATGGTGGTATAATCCCAGCTACTTGGGTGGCTGAGGCATGCAAATCGCTTGAACCTAGGAGGCAGAGGATGTAGTGGGCTGAGACTGCACCACTGCACTCCAGTCTGGACGACAGAGTGAGACTCTGTCTCAAAAAAAGAAAAAGAAGAAAAAATGAAAAACATAAATAGCACTTTTCTGTTTACAGAGTGCTTTCCTGCCCACTATTTTACCCTTACCCATGAGGGTATCTAAGAGATGGGGCTGCTCAGGTTCACGAAGTTCTGAGGACCTCCTTAAAATACATAGTGAAGAGGAAGCAGGAATTTGACTTAAACTCTGGTCTTCTGTCCCCAGATTCCATGGACTTTCCCCCACTTAGGGGTCTGTGTCACAGTGGATGAGCTCTGTGCACAGAATGAAGAGCAGAGGAACTGGACAGGCCCCTCCGAGGCAACAGACTGCTGCGCACAGGGGAAACAGGCTGTCCAGAAACCCGGCCTCCCCGGCTATGGTTGGCTGCCTAAACCTCCCCCTAAATTGTTTGCGAGCTATGTTCTGGGAAACTCAGTTTTTCTGAACGGGAAGACCTCCTACAGTCCCACATTTTCTTTTCTATGATTCAGTGACTCATCTCTAAAAAGCATTTATTGTCACTGGGGCATAAAAGTTATAAATAAATTCTTACCACCTTCTTTTTTTTTTTTTTTTTTTTTTTTTTTTTTTTTTTTTTT